AGGTGATAGTGCCTCTCTACTCAGCAATGTTTAGGCCTCATCAGTAGTAAGGTGTGCAGTTCTGGGATCCATATGTTTAAAAGGAAGTGGAAAAGTTAGAGAGGCTCCAGAGGCAGGCAACAAAGATTATCAAAGACTTGGAAAGCAAGTTATACAAGGAGAGACTGAAGGAGTGTGCATGTTCAGCTTGCCAAAAAGGTGCTTAAGGAGGAACATGATAGTAATCTTCAAATACTTGAATGGCTACCATAAAGAAGGAGGAAAACACCTTTTCTCTCTTGCTGCAGAGAGGAGAACACAGACAAGTGGCTTGAAGCTGCTGCAAAGTAAATTTAGATTAGATATCTGGAAAAACTTCTTCATTCTTAGAACAGTGCGTCAGTGGAATAGACTGCTTAGGAAGTTGTGGACTCTTCATCACTGGAGGTGTTCAAGAAGAAGTTGGACAGTACCTGGACAGGGATGATCTAGGTGTAGCTATGACTGTTTTCTAGCATGGGCATTTTCCACTCTTCTGGGCTTTGCTGGTTTCTCCGTGTCACGGTGCAGGGTCCTGGAGAAGGGCTGTATCTCCCCAAGGCCCCCTTCCCATGCCAAGTTGGCCCAAAGGGCACCCTTGATTCCCACCCACCACGTCTCTGTTAGTAAAATATATAATAGGGAGGCTGCCTTTAAGTCCTCTTGGACACAGTTTGGCTGTACTCTCTGACCCCGTGGGCTCCTGGACCCCTTGTGGGTCCCATTCTGCTGTAGGTGTTTTGGGGAACTCTAGCCTTATGGGCTGTGTGTGGTTCCAGCCACCCCTTTACCATGCCTCAAGCCTTGCAGATGGAACTGACGTTGTTCAGTCTGGGCCTTGTTACAGTATGGCCCCCTGGTCTTCCCTGGGCTCTCTGCTGCCCTGTCTCACACTGCGCCCTCACTGGCGCTGGGGTCCATGCACCCCCAATGCTGTGCCCTCACTAGCGCTGGGGTCCCCACGCTGCCATGGGTCCCCACGCTGCCATGGGTCCCCTGTGAGGCCTCCTCCATCCCCCAATAGCCTCACCCAAGCCGCCGGTCTTAAATAGCAAACAAAACACAAGCCCCTGGGCTATAACATAAATTCAAGCCACCCAGCTATAACATCATTCAGGCCATACCAGGGAATACGCTGTCCCTCAACAGTGTCAGAAGCTGCTCCTGCAGTCATGCCTCTCCCCTCTTACTTGCTCTAGAAGAGCTCCTTCCCCCTTGGCTGCTGGCAGGGAAATGCCATCCTGGCCTCAGCCCTAGGGTTTATATGCGAGCCAGACCCTACCCCTTCCGGTCAGCTGACCGCTGGCATGTGTGGGCTAATAGCTCACTCTGGCTGCCCTGGTAACCAACAGCTGGGGCTCCCCACTCACTGCTAGGGCTCTTTCCCTCGTAGTTTCCACTTGTCAAAGGAGCAGGGCACCTAAGTGCACTACGACACTCCCCCTTCCCCCCCTGCTCCACACACACACTTTTTCTGCTATATGTGTCAGGGTATTTTTAAGCCTTAACAGCAGAGACAACCCGAGCAGGGTGCAGGGCCCTGGGCAAATGAGATCATGTGGGGTCCCACCCCTGCGTGCCCTGGATGTGAAGAAGCCGCTGCCGCCTGTGGAGGGGGAGCAAGTGGCCAGACGCAAAGCCGACAGCAGAGGTGCAGAGTCACCATGGCCACTCTGCCTAGCTCCGTGGGGCCCCCCAAAGCGCAGGGCCCAGGGCAGTCGCCCCGATTTGCCCCCCCTAGGGACAGCCCTGCTTTCCAGAGTCATTGGGTGTTGGCTACAGCCAAGATTGGGGACCTCATCTGGGGTGTGCCAATGCTCCTGCTGAGAACAAAACTGATGGTGTCTGGTTGGAGGGTCTTATGCCTCCACTCAGGGTCAGACTAATCTCCACATCTGGGGTCAGGAAGGAATTTTACCCCGTGGTCGGTTTGGTGGGGACTGTGCCGGGGGGGTTGCCTTCTTCAGTAACAGGGAGAGCTGCCCTCTGCCCAGGACTTTTTGAGCGTATATTGACAACATTTTATAGAAGCAGGATATTGGTTGCCATGGTTCTTCTGCTTTACCTGTGGCAGGTTAGAGTGTAGTCTTTGTTGTGTCAAGGTTGATGGTAGTCTTACGTAAAGCTTAAATTATGTTTGTATGTGATGCTTTGGATATGGACGATCCTGCCTCAGGCAGGAGATTGGATTAGATGACCTCTGGAGGTCCTTTCCAGCCCCACTTCTCTATGTCTCTATGACTATGACTCTATCCTTGGAAACTTTTAAAAGCGGGTTAGATAGACACTTGGCTGGGATGGTTTAGTCAGGGATGATCCTACTATGAGCAGGGGCCTGGAGTAGTGGAGCTTGTGAGGTTCCTTCAAGCCCTACTTTCCTAGGATCCTATGACCACTGTGGCTGGTGATGCACAGACTCCCATGAGCAATGCAGCTCCTTTACGGAATTCTCCCGGGATCCTATACTTCACGCACCATACACTGTCTCATTTTCCTAGACAAGGGGATAGCCAGTCTAGAGGAAAGTTAGTACACTGCTTGAAATTTTACCCAACTCCACTAGCCAGGTCTAGTAGCAGGACCCGCAATATTAATTCTCACATCACTCACTGTGATTTTTATGCATGTTCATAAGTTGAAAATATCTATCAAATAACCATGCACATATTGGATCATTTATTTGCTTCATTTTATTTTAACACTGGAATTGCACTCTGCAGAAGAAACCCACATTTACTTACTTAGGGTTGTTTGGATTTGTTCTCTCCTTTTCTCTCCTGTTTTTGAGTCATTCTCCATTATATCTTGGTGTGTTTTCTTCCATTTTTCACTGTCTGTTTTCAAAGTTTGTCTCCCTTGTCAGACCTTTTTAATGATAATAAGAGAGGATAGTGATTTTTGCTGTATGCTGGCTACTTAACTACCTGGGATTATGAAGAAATTATCTTTATAGGCAAGCTATTCCATAATTGTCCCTTATGAGATTTCTTGTACTTACCTCTAATAGCGTCTGGTGCTGATTATTACTGAAGGCAGGATACCAGATTAGGTGACCCATCAGTCAGATTTAGACAGCAATAACTATATTTAACTATTTTGAACTATAGCTTTTTCCTCTTCTTCTCTCTTCCATAGTTTATGCTATTTTTCCACTTCACCCCATGCTCAGCATTTTATTACAGTCCTTTCCCTCAGTTCTCTTCTAGCTTTTCATTATTCTTTCTACCTACATTCTTTCCTTCTCTTTCAAACAAGTGTAGACTTCTCTTTTCTCTCTCTCTCTACTATCTGGACAGTGCTTTTTTCAAAATTGCCAGAATTTGATGCCTTTTAAACTGTTTTCAGTTGTTTCTCTCTGGCAACACAGGTTTGGTTCAATACACTAATATGATTTCAGCATCAGACAACACTAAGCAGTGGAAGGAAGAGTCACTAATGGATAGGAACATGGAGGGAAAATAAGTAGTAAAACAGCAACTTTTATGAGTCACCAAATGGCAAAGCATCTTTAAACAGTGGGGAAAGCACAGGAAGATATTAAATATCACCAAGTAATCACTGACTTCTGCTAATACTTTGCCATTTGAGATTCCATCAGATAAAAACAGTGAACCAGTCAGAGCCTGATTCTCTGGGGTCTTGCACCTTTTCTTGTCATTTATACCTGTGCAGAGCTGGTGTAAAATACTATGAAAACATCACAGTGTCTCTTCTTGCTCACCTCTTGAGGGTATATTTTTTGTGTAAGACAGATAATTTTGTAATAACAGGGCTCAGATGGTTAGCTACACAAAATCTGTGGTACTCTGAGACTAAGGCCTGATTAAATCTGGTCCCAGACAGAAAGACCTAAATGAAAGGGGATCTACAGGCATATCCTCTCCTGTAGCTCTGCCCTTCAGGTGCCTGGTGCTTTTATTTTATCTTTTCACTAACTAATTTAGGTGCTTTCATGTGACGCAGCTCTCCAGCTACATAGAAATTCTTCCCCTTCAGGAGTCAACATGTGGTTCCAAAGCAGAGCCCTGAACAACAAAAATAGATCCAGGTTTTTCCCAGGCTCAAATAATACCTCACCAGCATACTTGTCCTTCTGGCCTTCTGTACAGGGCTGCTTTGCCACCTAGAGTTGGTGAGCAGACAGACACTGTTGCCTCTATCTAGGCTTCTCTGCTCACATCTGAGACCCCAAGGAGGTATTTCTGTTCACTATTCTATTGCATTCCTCTCCCAGCACTACTCCCTACAGTGCTATCACTAGTCAAGCCACCTTACTGGCCATTTCCTGTCTTATGATCACAACCTTTTTGCTCACTCCCTTTTCAGGTCACTTTTCTGATATGCAACTGTAGAGAACTGTTCAGGGGGGTCACTAATTCCCATGAGTCTTTCTTGACTGAGGTTCTGAGACTACTCTAGTCTTACATGATCCTTTACCTCCAAGCACAGGATCCACAGTTCAGTCCTCCTGAGTATTACTCTTATTACTTGGCACTGGACTAGCAGCTGAACAAGTAAGCAGTCAGGGCCCTGCTGGACTTGTATAGCCTGTGCTGCTCTGTCTCCACTGCCGTTGTTACCCAAGCCAATTATAGATTCAAGCTAGCAGTGATATGCTTGCACATGCAATCGCAGGTTTTGTCTTCAGTGGAGACAAACCTAAGAGACCCTAAACTCCAGGACTGATCAAGGACAATAGTGACCACAGGACCCTTGCAGTGATACAAACAAGCAGTCCAATTATACAACTCACTGCATCCCTTTAACTCCAAGTACAGGATGATCTGAGACTTCTCCCTGACACTCCCCTGTTAACCTGTCTTCAGTTTCAGAGAGAATGGCCTATAGCCACAGTAGCGAAGACAATATTTAGTTAAGCTGAAAGGTGAGGAGGTAAAAAGGTTCTTATGTATTTGGGGGCTAAGGAGGGAATGAAGGAGAATGTCAGAGGCTAAACTTATTTCATATTAATGTGTCAGCAGAACCCAGGAGACACAGTCAGGATTGTGCCGGGTGCTGAAGAAACCCACAGGAAAGTCATCTTTGTCCTGAGTACAGGAAAATTCAATTCCAAGGTACGTGCAAATATTTTTTGAAAATTTGTCCTCCACTAGTATTGTCATGTATAAGAAGCCCCACTCTGCTTAAATAATTACTAATAGCACACAGCAAAACAACAAAGTGAAATATAAGCAGCATTGTTATTAAAATGTATCAGGGTGATTTCTAGGTATATTCAATTTTCTCCCTTTGAACTGATAAAAAACTTCTCTTAAACTTAACTCCCATGCATTCATTCTCTTCCCACATGAACTACTTGCTCCATATATGCATTACTTCAATATGTATGACTTGAGTGCACATTTTCTACACATTGAAAAGAAAAAGGACCTTTAAATGCTGAAAGAAAAGGTTTCTGTGCACCAGAAGTAGAATTATGAATGTTTCTGATACCCTTATCAAAAAGAGTTTGCACTTATTTCCAGATGCACAGTTCTGGAGTGGACAGTAGCAAACCAGATGTAGGCTTGATTGTTAGTCGTACCTTCTGGCTTGCCGTGGTCATACTAAGTATTGGTGTGACACAAGTTTATAAGACAACTTTAGTAAGAGTTGCCCCTATAATTCATGTAGAGAATTGTGCTGCAAATATGTTCTGGAACAATAAACTACAAACACATATTGACCTTATCAGTGCCAAAAGGATGAACCATTGTCAAGTGTTTTATGTAGGATGGCCACTCAGGGAAGCTTTAGTGCTACAAATCTGCAAGATAAAGATTGTTTCACATTATTGTTTTAACACGTCATTGTAATTTAAAGTTGAGTAACTGCAGGTGTTTTATTCCTAAACTGTCCTGCATAGAGCACATATTACTATTGTACTTCAGTCCTCCTGAAGCTGTTGTTCATGTGTTACCACATAGCCTCTATTCTGTTATGAACAGGGATACGAAGCGCTGCACCCAGCCCCACCCATACTCAGATAAACATACCAGATGACTTTCAGCTGTGGCTAACAAAATGTCTCAGGGCACCAAATGAGCCTATGCCTAGAGATATAAATAATAAACTATTTTCAGCATTAATTGTGTGTGCAAGCTTTTGTCTTGGAGAATACCATTCAGCTTCTAGGTCAGAGGCTGGCAGTGGGTAGGGTGGAGGGAATTACTTCTGAATTTGGGGGCATTTGTGGAGGAGTTTGTCTTTTTATACTTTCTTATTTTAAAACTTTATTTTTTTGTAAGCTGTCCTGAGCCTTTTTTGGGAAGGGTGAAATGTAAATCAAATAAATAAATACAAATATTAATGAAAAAGAAATGTTGGAAGTCAGTATTCTTGTTGATCTAGTGCAGTGGCTAGAATCTTTTGCAGACTCTGACTCAATTAGTACAGAAAAAGGTTAAGCATAAAGAATAAGAAGGACGGTTGTGATTCCCCTTTCCCTAGACCTGGTTTGAATGTCCAGGTTAAGAACCCATGGTCTTAAAGGTTGGTACAGTAGAAGTTGTACAATAAGGGCAGCATTCAGCAAGGCCTTAACTTTAATGAATTATTCCTAGGAAAGGAAAGCAGTGACCTGATTACATCCCACTTGAAGAGGTTTATATTTTAGAGTTAAGATATTATCCACTGAAATATTGGCATCTTCACTCTAAAACATTAGCTTCCTCAAGTGGGATGTAATTGTGTTACAGCTGCCCTTGTATGAATAAAATTCACATCATCATGGAGCTTTTGTTCTTGAGATCTTGACTCCATAGAAAACTGACAATAAACCTTGTGAACCTAGACCTGTAAGATAAATCAGATTTTGACCCACAGGGCTTTCTAGACATATATCTACTAAACCACTGTTAGGATCCTCTGAAGTGCCCCACAAGATGCATCTACACATGCCCCTTATGGCGCAGCTGTTACTGCTCCATCATTTAGTACTTGCTTTAGGAACTACTAATTGACAGCGCAGTAACAACCATTACTGCACCGTCCCAGCAGTGCAGAGTTATTTTTAGCAGGTACGTCACCATAGTGATGCACTGTAGCGAGGTAGGGGCCATTTTAAAACTAAGGTCAGCCAGGCAGAGCCTGCAGTGTGTTGTTTGCAGCTGAGGGAGCAACATCACCTGGCTGAGCTGAGGCTTGCAACATCCTGGAGGTAAGGGCAGGAGCTAAGGGAATGACTTGGAGGCTTCTGGTCCTGGGCACAACCTAAAACGTCACCCTGCCAGGGAAGGCAGGCCTGGTGGCACTGTCAGTGGCAAAACTGGGCTGATGCCCCATGGGCAGATTTGATATTGTGATCTAGTCCAATGCTATGAAAATAAATGAATAGCCTGCACTTCCCTTTGCTAAAATCCATCCAATTACTCCTTCCATAATACACCCTTGGATTACCCATACCATTTCTCTCCTCTCTTTATTTTATGCACTTTGAATGCCTGTACATTATTAAAATCCCATTAGTTGTTATCTGAAGAGCCCATATTTACTACTTATGGACCTATTCCTCTGGTCCAGGGACGATGCATAGGGGGTGCACGTGGCGGTGCACCCACTGGAAAAAGACATCGGTGGCATTTGCGGATCGTCCCTGATCACCCCTTGCTGTGGGTGCCTGCGGGAGGTCACCAACCCGTGGTCGGAGCTCGCCACCTTGCCCCCACTGCCAACAGTGCCAGCGGTGTCTGCAGGAGCTCGCTACCGCTGTGCTTCCACCACCACCGCCGTGCTCCCACAGCCACTGGTGCACAGCTGTGCCCTCCCGCAGCTGCTGGGGTATGCGCCATTCATGCTGCGGCCTTTTCTTACACTTACTCATAATACAAAGACATAACCCAAGAAGAGTTGTGTGTACTGGAGGATCAGGTATATTCCTTTGATCTTTCCTTAACCCTGTTTTTAGGATATTATTTTGTTACTAGCCAATTGTCTGTCAAGAATGACGGGGCGGGGGGAGGGAGGATGGATCACCGCCGTCTACCACCCTGTGCCACCACCACCTCCCAAGAGCAGGGGAGGTGGGAGAAGCTTGCCCCTCGGCCAGCACCTTGTGCTGCTGCCACCTCCTGGCCAGAACGCTCTTGGAGCACTCTGACTGGTTGTTTCAGTCAGCATTGTGATTGGCTGCCGAGACAGCCAATCAGAGTGCAAGTAAAGCATTATGGACAGACACACTAAGGCTTTTATTACATTAGCTATTTGGCTCAGTACCGCCAACAGAGACTTACCTCTCAGCACAGAAATTTGTCTTGGCATTTCTGCCACTACATTGTACCATGAACTCCTACTCAATCTGCCATCAGTTCTTGCTCCTATGTATAGTTTTGGCATTTCTGCTTTCCAAATACAGTGCCTCCATTCCAGTGAGTATATTTCAGATTACTCTTGTCAAGAGTTAATATTCTGCATTTAATTAACATGCTGCTTTTGTAACTGTTTTTCCAGATGACTAGATAAGCTTAAATACAACTGGTCTTCAGACTTCCTCAGAGCACTCTGTCAGATCCCTTCACCCCACTTGTCATTTATACTTCCTCTTTGTTTATAGCCTTCTAAATTAACTTCCATCAACTCAGCTGAGACTAGCAAAAGCACTAGTCAGTAATTTTGCTTGAGAAGTTAGTGTTTCCTGTTTGGTATTGTTTCCTGGTTTATGCAGAAACATTTTAGGTCATATGACATGGCTGGTAGACCACTTCTTCCTGTTAGGTATTCTTTAAAGAAAAGTAGGTTAGCTTTGCCAAAGCTCAAGAAGCATTCTGCATTACAGTACTGGACCTGTTTAATGTGGCACCCTACATGGGTTTTCAAAGCATGTTGCAATGTAGCCATTTCTGATTTCATATTAGTTATTACCTCCTACTCCATTGGAAGAAGTAAGGTGAATTTTATTTTACTAGTAACCGCTAATTTATACCCAGTTTGTAAAAATTATCTAGGTGATGTATCTCATTTATAGAAGCTATTATTTGTGCAGATACAACATGCAAATCATGAAATTTACTTCCTTAATTCTTGCAGATGCAAACTTCTCAGTTTCATTCTCTCTGTGAGCTTCATAAATTTATTTGATTGCACTTAGAATATGTTTTAATCACTCTTAGAATTCACAATATCAGCAAAGATTTCAGGGTGAAAATCCTAATAGATCTATCTGGCAGGTGCATGCACCGGTATTCCACATTTACTGCATGACTGCCATTGAAACATGAAACTGTGTGTCATATTGTGGCCAGCCCTTGGGTGCATGTAGAATTTGAGGTTCAGAAGCATTTTCTGATGAGGAAGTGTAGTTTTGCTTGTTACCAGGAAGTTGAGAGAGATTTTTCAGTTGCTTTGAATACTCATGGTCCATTTATGTCAACAGAGTTATGATATCTCTTACACTAGTTTAGCATCTGCCCCATGGTTGCTAGGTACCAAAAAGAAGAGAGACAGTGATGGTCCCTTTATGTAGGCCAGCATGCCAGCAGTTTATGGAGAGTAACTCTTTTCAATGCTCATGCAGCAAGCATAAAAGCATGCCTGTGAGGAATTCTGGTCGAGAAAGACCCCTCTGAAACCGCAAAGGTGCCCTAGTCATATACTCTTGAACTTACTGGTACACAGATGTTTCATAATAATAAGAGGGGAAAGGAGTTATTTGAATGATATCTTTTATTGGGCCAGTTGCTTAGCTGAGACAGAATTAGATGAGCTTTTGAATGCTTTCATAACAATGATACATTTTGAAGTCCCTGCACTACTTTCTTTGTGCCTTTCTTTCCTTTTCAGTCTGCAACTCCACGGACAGAATTCTGCCCTCTTATTAAGCTTACTTTCCTCTCCCTTAGACTCTGCCCTATTTTTGACCTTGCCATTTTTAAAATTATTTTTTTTTGTTGGCTCTTTGCTCCAGACCTGCTTCTTTTCTGTGGCTCACGCTACGGATGTGTCAAACCTAGAAAATTCAAATCTGCAGATGCATTTTGTGTGCATCTTACTAATATAAGAGTTGTTTGTAAAGCCAGTTTGATTGTAAAACTTTTTTAAAATATTTTTTATTTTTCTGACCTACACGTGTCTACATCTG